TTGAATGAAGATGACGGAATGCAGACGTTACTTCGAAAACTTGGTGATTTATTTCTTAAAGAAGAAAAGGACCGTGTTTATGAAGCATGCACTAACTTTGACCGAATCATGAGAGATGGCAACGTGTCCATGGAGGACTATATCATTGACTTTGAACAGAGATATTTGCAGATGCGGAAATACAAGATGGAGCTTCCGGATGCGGTGTTAGCTCTCAAGCTGTTGGATACTGCCTGTTTGGATGCAAAAGATCGACAGCTGGCCCTAACTGCATGCAAAGATTTAACGTTTGTTTTGATGAAATCAGCGTTAAAAAGGATCTTCGGAGGGAAGTCGACTCAAGCTGTGGGAATTAATCAAGAAACTGCCTACTTAACAGAACAGAAAAGCAAACCGCGCTACTCTTGGAATCAGCCACGATAAACAAAAGGCGTCACTCCCTGGAACTAATCCACTGGACAGGGATGGACGCAGATCAAGATGTGCAGTCTGTCAGAGCACATTTTACTGGGCAAAAGACTGTTCAAACAAAGGTGAGCAAGCTAAACTTACCTATGCTGGTGAGTCAGAGAAGGTGGAGGAAGTGCAACATTGCTCTATATACAAAAGAGGCACCCTCAGATGCGGAAATATTTATGACTGAGTGCCTTGGTTCGGCAATAATAGACACAGCATGCACCAAAACAGTATGTGGACAAGAATGGCTTGACAGCTATATTATCAAGCTAACTCCAGTTGAAGTAAAAAAACTAAAGATGTCAGAAGTGCACAGCAGTAGACCCTTCAAGTTTGGAGATGGAAAAATAGTAAAATCCATCAAAAGGGTAAAGATACCAGCAAATGTTGGACAGACTAAGTGTCAGATCGAAACAGAAGTTGTCCCAACAAAAATACCTTTGCTTTTAATTAAAGAATCGATGAAAAAGGCAGGAACAGTGCTTAACATGGAAAATGACAGCGCAGTGATGTTCAACAAACCTGTGAAGCTTGACTTTACCAGCTCCGGTCACTGCTGTGTGAACATAATGGATAACAATATACAGTCTAGTTATCATGACAATGTCATAACGGATAATGTAAAGAAGGATGAAGAACAGATACTGGCACTCACAGAAACAATGACTTCTGCAGAGAAGACAAAAATGCTGATTAAACTTCACAAGCAGTTTGGGCACACATCTGCTGAAAAACTTAACAGACTGCTGACAAGTTCAGGCAATAAAGACAAAGAGTGTGGATCTATTCTGCAAAAGGTGGTAGAACAATGTGAAACATGTCAGAGATACGGCAGAACCAGGCCAAAGCCAGTTGTTGGTCTTCCACTGGCATCTCAGTACAATGAAACTGTGGCAATTGATCTACATGAACTTAAGCCGGGGATGTGGTACCTCCATGTCATTGATCAGTTCACAAGATTTAGTGCAAGAAGCATACTAACCATGAAGAAGCCATCTGAAATTGTTAAACACTTCATTCATGTATGGATAAGTGTGCATGGTCCACCTAAAAAGCTGTTCAGTGACAATGGGGGAGAGTTTAACAATGATGAGGTCCGGGACACGGCAGAGAACTTCAACATAGAAGTAAAGACGACAGCAGCATACAGCCCATGGAGCAATGGGCTACTTGAAAGACATAATCAGACGCTCACGGAAATCGTAATGAAAGTGAAAACGGACACAAGCTGTGACTGGGATACTGCATTGGACTGGGCGATAATGGCTAAAAACACTATGCAGAGCGTGCATGGTTATAGTCCATATCAGCTGGTGTTCAGACAGAATCCCAACCTACCATCTGTGCTGACTGACAAAACACCTGCATTGGAAGGCACAACAAAAAGCGAATGGGTGGTAAATCACATCTCGGCTCTGCATGCATCAAGAAAAGCATTTACAGAAGCAGAATGTTCAGAAAGAATAAGACGAGCTTTGCGTAAACAGATTCGACATGGAGATGACAAGTATGAAGTTGGTGACAAAGTCTATTATAAGAGAGTGGATTCCTCAGAGTGGAAAGGACCAGGAGTCGTCATTGGACAAGATGGTGCAGTGGTGTTTGTCAGACATGGTGCAATGTGTATCAGAGTCCATCAACTCAGACTGAAAAAGGTGGACAACGAGAAAGATGATTTACAACTGGAAAACTACGCAGAAATAAAAGAAAATGCTGTGCTAAGTCAGGAGAGGACAAGAGACTTTGTTGATGACATGGAGGCTGCAAAGCACACAAACACACTGGGACAACCAGAAGTAACAGCTGGTGAGGATGCTGGAGAAACTACTGCAGAACCTGCAACAAGAGGAGAATATGAAAGGAACGCACAGAGTGATGTGCAGCCCGTGATTGTTTGTTTGAAACCTGGACAGGTGATAAAATACAAAGATCGTGAAACTGGAGGCCTTCATACAGCTAAAGTGCTGGGCCATGCAGGAAAAGCCACAGGCAAATATAGAAACTGGTACAGTATGGTTCTTGTGGAACCTAACTCTTTGGCAGGAAACACCAGTTCAGTTGACATAAAACAACTGGAAGATTTCCAGGTAGAGGTTGACATGGAAGTGGATGTAACAGGTACAAGTGAGGAGGTGTTTGTGATGGGAGATTTAGCATTTGATGATGCAAAACAAGACGGGATAAAAAGTTGGAAGGACAATGATGTTTTTGTAGAGGTTAGAGATGAAGGGCAAAAGTCAATCTCCACAAGATGGGTCTGCACTGTGAAGGAGACGTCTGATGGACTAAAACCTAAAGCACGTTTGGTGGCCAGAGGATTTGAAGAATTACAAGAGTCAGAACTACAAAAGGACTCACCGACATGTGCTTCAGAGTCCCTTCACATGCATGTTGCAGTTATCTGCCAGAGAACATGGACGCTTAACTCGATGGATATTAAATCTACATTTCTACAAGGAATTGAACTGTCACGTGATCTTTATATCAGACCTCCACCAGTAGCACACTCCGACGGCAGACTGGAAACTAAAAAAATGTGTGTGTGGATTAGCAGATGCATCACTGTATTGGTACAATCGTGTAAAGGAGATTGTACAGAGACTTGGAGGAAAAATATCAAAGGTTGATCCTGCTGTTTTCTTTTGGATGGGTCAAGAAGGCAATGTTGTTGGAGTACTTGCTTGTCATGTGGATGACTTAATTTGGGGAGGAACAGAGAGCTCCTCTTCAACAGTGATACCCCAGCTAAGGGCTGCATTTCAAGTTGGTCATGAAGAGCAGAACAACTTCAGTTATGTGGGAATGGATTTTGTGACTATTGACAAAAAGGTACACTTACACAAGGAAACCTACATCCAGCAACTGCAGCCCATACATGTGGAGCCCCAACGCACTGTACAACAAGAGTCACTTCTCTTACCAGGAGAAAAGGATCAACTCAGATCCAAAGTGGGTCAACTTCTTTGGGTAGCAAGACAAACCAGGCCAGATATAATGTTTGACGTAAGCATGTTGGCGTCAAGCATGAAGGATGCAACTGCCAACACAATTCATGAAACTAACAGAGTAGTGTGCAAGCTGAAGACAAAGAGTGTAACTTTGAACTTTGGACAACTGGGCAGAGACAGCGATCTCAAGATTGCTGTCTTCAGTGATGCTTCTTTTGGAAATCTTCCCGACGGAGGAACACAAGGAGGACATCTCACTGTCCTCATGGGGAAGGATGGAAAGTTCTCACCACTCTCCTGGCAGTCACGAAGAGTTAAGAGAGTTGTACGGAGCACACTAGCGGGCGAAACACTGGCAATGTCTGATGGAATTGATAATGCACTTTTCCTGTCTACACTGTTTTCAGAGTTGACAACTGGAGACTTAAAACATGCTGTCCCCATAATCTGTATTACTGACAACCATTCTCTTGTCGATGCACTCAAGCCAACGAAGTCGGTCTCTGAAAAAAGACTTTGCCTTGAAATGAGCAGCATAAGGGAGCTCATTCAAACCCAAAAGGTTGAGCAAGTGTTGTGTCACAGCGCCAAAGCTCAACTTGCAGACTGTCTCGCAAAAAAGGGGGCATCCTGCTTTCAGCTACTGAAAACGCTGAGTGAGGGGCAATGGACTGTTGAATAAATAAAAAAATGTATTAAACCTAACCGGTCTTACATATCACAGTCAGTTGGTTTTGTTCGTTTTTTGAAAGAGCACATCTTTATAGGTGTAAGTGATAAATATAATTTCTTTTAAAAGGATAGGTGAGATTGTTAGTAATTAAAAGGATAGGTGAGATTGTTAGTAATGCTTTTATGTTAAACAAATGTCCTGTTGGCATATATGCTTTTATTCTGAAAGTGTGTGGTTGTTTCCGGAGGAATCCCCTTTTTGTGCTGGAGTTGGATGGTGTCATGGCGGAATAAAAGAGAAGTTCTTAACAGAGTATCAGTCTAGTTTATTGAGTAACAAGACACACCTGTCCTGCAGAAAAGCAGGGTGACTCACTGACCAAGGTCGTAATAGTTCAGCATTTTTCCATTACTTCTCATTTTTATTTAGTTTTTGTTTCAGATTTTTAAATCTATTTAATTGTGCTTCATTAAATGTACTTTGTTATGGAAAACAATGTCAGAAGGAACCCTGGCCCTCCAGGCATCTTCACTTTCTAAAATCTGGCCCTCTTTGCAGAAGTTTGGACACCCCTGATCTAGAGTCAGAAGAAGTCTGGTTAGGTGGCTGCTGGTTTTAGATGCAGCGATATTTCCAACCTCAGTACCTCGCCATAACAGCTTTAAACAGCAGGAACGGTCTTAGCAGGACCAAAACGGTGTTGGGGGGAAAACTGTACAGTAACTGTAGAAAATGGCCTGGTTGGTAGGAAGCAGCAGACTTCTAACTTTGCATCCCACTCCCTAAAAAGGGGACCCTGGGGTCCTCTGGGTTTTGAATGAACAAGAGAGCAGATGAAACCGCCCAGTTTTCACATCAGGACCACATCAGCATCTACGTAGCCTATGTGAACCCCTTGGATCAAGTCTGTCTGTTCTCCTCACCTCAACCCGAAGCTCAGCGAGCTTCTTGTCCATGCTTGTCCGAGCTCCCAGTTCATCCTCCAAGTCCTCAGATATGCGGCCAAGTTCATCCTGATGCATTTCCTTCAGCAGGTTCAGCTAAACGTGAGATATAGCAAACACACGCACGCACGACTTGATACTGGGTTGATCTTTCACCACAGACTGCACCCCAGTGGTACAGCATCAGCTTCTCAGAGTCATACCTGTTTGAGGGCTTCCTGTTTGCTCTTGCTGAGCTCCTCGTATTTAAGTTTCCATTGACTGAGTTCAGCCTCCAGCCTCTCAATGCTTTTACTCAGTGCGAGCTTGTCTCTGTGGGGGGAGTGAAACAGCACGTTAGTCATCTTCATCACCCTGACTCAATCATCTCATCAGCTGGGATTTTAATCACGCCTCCCTCTCCTCCACCCTCCCCACCTTTGCCCGGTATGTGAAGTGCTACACCAGAGACAATAAGATAATCGACCTTCTTTATGCTAATGTTAAAAACGCATACATACATGGCAAGCTTAGGCCCCCAGGATACCATAGTGGCTCTAAAGTTCACCATGTCAGCTACTGCTGCCACATGGGGTTTGTTAAGGGCATGTTGGACCTGCTCCAGTCATAAATTATAGCTTTCATCTGTGTATTGTCTTGGCCTCATATCCTGGACAGACGAGCATTCTGCCTGTTCGGGTTTGGCCTAATGTCATGTGAAAGGACAGAAAGCGAGCTGCACGTTCCTCTGCCATATTTTTTTACTCCAACCCGGCAACATGGGAGCCTTTACAGCCCACCCTGCCAGTGATTGTTGGACGTGTGGGTGTGTGTGGGTGGGTGGGTGTTGGGTGCGAGCGAGGCCTTGAATGATTCGTTTCTGTTGCTCTCTCTCCTCCAGCCTGGTCTGGCTGTTGCTGACGCTGCTCAGTTTGCAAGGCGTCTTATTCCATAGCTGATTTACTGGTGCACTCCTGGACACACACGGTGTGTGACGCGCGTGGGCAGAGTGCCGGCACTGCTCCAAACTCACACTTCATTTTGCAAGTTTTCCCATGAGTGAGGGATGCTGGAGAGTGAAAGCAGTTTGTGCATAGTGTGTATTTTCTGCTGTATTGCTGCACACCTCACACTGAAAGCTGGTATTTTTTAATGGATGTGTGGGATCTTATATAAGGATCATCAGTGGACAGTCCTGCCGTGTGAATCGGCCTAAACACATCCAGAACAGGAGTGTCTCATCTTACTCTCTCTCTTTCAGAAGGACTTTCTGGGACTCGTCGAGTCGAAGCTGCAGGGCGTTCAGCTTGCTAGAGTCTTTCTCCACCACGCTCACGTCCTCTTGTAGCTGCCTGCTGCGCTCCTGCCGGCTCAGACCAGAGGACGAGCGCGATCCGGTTGGATTAACACCATGAATGTCCCACGTCTCTTCAGAGTCAAGGCCAGCTGCTCCTGAACGCAACACTGATTCCAGCAGCTCCATATCCTGACAGAGAGACACGTTAGATATGAAAACCAGGGCAGAGCTGAATTCTGAAAATGTAATATGCTGACATGTGACTGAAGCCTGACGTCATGGGTCACGGTTTTTGTTAAACAAGCATTAGGTTTCTCTCCAGAAAGATCCGATGTTAGAAAACAATCATGAAAAAAGACAGAAAGTGCAACAACCAGAAACAGGCTGGTGAGGCTTTGCTGTAATTCTAGGCTGTAAACAGCAGAGGGCGCTGTTTGGTGAAACAAACCACATGAGGAAGGCTTCTGCAGTATGTGGGAAACGGAACAATGCAGCGACACAGGAAATGAGTCTGGGCCGTACTCACCGTGGCCTCATAACCGCCTTGGCTACAAGCAGACAAACATAGGGTCACGGTTTATGTGGAGCTCTGAACTGTGCATGTGTGTGTTTGGGGAACATCACGTGTGTTTCTGAGACACAACACATAGTTGTGAGGTTCAGTCGCTGCAATCTCAACAACCAGCAACTTGCCTTTGAAGATTTTAGCTTTGCTCATCTTTGCATGGGAGTGTGTGTGTAGTACAGAACTCAGCAGCTTTGGACCCCTCCAACACACACACACACACACACACACACACACACACACACACACACACACACACACACACACACACACACACAATCAAGTTTTTCTATAGAGAAAACAGATTTTTGTCTGATGTCACTGTTCAGTATGAGTCCAGGATGTTTTATGTTTTTTTTTGGCACTTATTATATTTTTTTGTGTTTTTTTCCCTCATCTCATGACATTAAAATGCCCTCTGGCACTAAGCGTACCAAGCTATGAAATGCTAGCTCTTAAAGCTGCAATGGCAAGTTTGGGAACAAATGAGCTCAAATACACTTTCTTTCATGCCTCCTAACAACGTTCTAACGTAGTATAGCTATAAATATAATGTGGAGAATTTAAAAAGTGTTTAAAACCCGTGTTTAATATTTAACACAAGGGGGTGCTCAAATCAGGACAACATTTTATGTGTCTCATAAACCACTTAAAGGTAAACTCTGTGCCAAATTTCAAGAAGTTTGACTTAATGGAATTCACGCTACAACTGCTAGCCTAAAAAACATTTTCATAAATAGGAAGAGTAAACTTTTTCACGGAGCAGCGATTTTCGTTATATCATCTATTACTATGTAGTTAACTAAACCTGAGAACCTCCTACACGCAAATAATGACTTTTAGTAAATTTTTCAATTTTGTAATTTTACACAATCATAAACCAGGTCCATTTAGCCATTTTGACAGTATAAATTCTTCCTATTTGTAGCACCCCCCATTGTTGGATCAAGCTGAAAATCAACATATACACATGAGTACAGTACCTTTGGTACTGTTGATATGAAGAGCTTTGAAAAATGTCAAAACCTTTTTAAGTGATACAAAAAAACTTTTTCATTTAAAATGTTTGATTTTGAAAGCTCATATTTCCTAAATGAAATAAAATATTAAAAAAAAAACATTAACATTGATGGTCAGCCACTTGTCACCTCTTCCCAGGCAAGTTTGGATTTGATTGGGTTCGACGGCCGGGAGGTGTTAATGAAAATATATTTTACATAAAATGTAATATTCTACTAATGTGCATAACTGTAAAACCTTTTCAAAATATTCCTCTAAATTTGTATGACTCAATGAACACCCAGGATAACAAAATGTGTTTCTGTACTGAACGCATGTGGAGAAAACTGCCCAAAGCATTTTTTGGCAACAACAGCACCACTTGAAGGGCAAAATTGAAAGTATGTCTTGTGGTTGTGGATGACACTATTATGAATATGTTCTGTAAGTTTCTGGATAGAATACATATTTTTCATGAGTAAAAGGGCTAAAAATGTTTAGGCCAATAAGCCATTACCATTTAATTTTTTTAAAAATATGGCTTAATGAACATCTGTGCCAAGTTTTGTAGAAATCCATGAAGCCGTTATGCTGAAACAAACTTTTTGATCCTTTTTCTTGGTTAATCAGAACAAAATTAGATACTTAGGGATTACTGCTCATACTTTATTAGAATTCAGAGTCTCATCGTTTAATCCAGAAAATGGTGGATATCATCAATTAGGTCATGTGCTAGCTAGCACACAGAATTTGACCATGTGTCATTTGAGCAATTTTAAACATTTCTGCAATTTTCTTCATCAGAATTACTGATGTTTATCTATAGATCGTATATCCCAAGTTTCAAGTTGATTCGACGAAAAGTGACGGATTGGTGGTTAAAAATAGGTTTTGTTGTTTTTGCGATCTAGATAAAATCTAGTTAGGTGGAAATGGGCGTGGCCAATGCAAAACATATGCAGAATCATCCAAGGATCAAGCACATATAAAATGTTTGTGTGTGGGACCTTTGGTTTGGGAGTTATTAGCTAAAACACATTGACCTTCGCAATAGCACCACCTAGGTGCTTCTGGGTATGAGTTTTTGAAACCGAGTAGCTGTCGGGATTTTCTATCAGACTGCCATGTTAAATTTTTCATGGCATTTTCTGGCTCTTGTGCCCATATCACTTTAGCGAAGAATAATGAAAAAAACAACACGGGCTTCGAACCCTGATTGTTATATAAATGTACTCTCTGATGCAAAGGGAAATAGAAAATCTATTTAAAAGCAGTTGCATAGCCTAGCAAATCCTAATGCTAATGCTGAATTCAAATATGCGCTTGCGTTAGATGGTACAATCACCTCTGACCCTGATCATATGGCCATTTTAGACTTTTAAAAGTCATGTAAAAAAACCTGCAAGGTTGTCAGGTCAAATATTACCTGTTTTATGATCATAAAACACTGCCTGACGTCGGAATGTGCACAGATGTTTTAAACTCAATGACCTTCTGTCTGTATCTACGGTATGGTCACAGACTAACCAGACCCCACTTAAACCTCTGGAACAGCTTTAGAACAAGGCCCTGAAGATTGCAGAAAAATAAAAACAATTAGATATCATCATTGTAACATACTGTCAAATTACAGCCTTAAGACATTCACAAATTGTATTAGTTTGAGTGTTTTAAAAATAACTTTAAGTGCACAAATAAAATGGCACCAAAACCCCTGTGTGACTCAGCTAACCAGCTGCACCAGAGCAGCCTCTTGTGGAAATTACAAGGTACCGTAAAACCACCTTTGCTTGGACTACTCTGTCAGGGTGCAGGGCTTTGGAATATGCTTCCTTTTAAAATGCAAACTAATTCCTGGCTGTCCCAGCAGCAGCGTTGCTCACATGTTTCATAGATTTAACCGTTATTTGCTTTTCCCTTTGTTATAACTTTTCTGTGTCTTAAACTGATATTTTTCTGTCATTTTATTGTGCATATTTGTTTTCTTTCTTCTCTTTAATTCATGATTGTATGAGTCCATCTTGTGACAAATGCTGCAGATTAGCTATAGCTAAAAGCATTTAGCTACAAACATGGGGCTGCTGTTTTATTGTTTGATTAAATGAATTTGTGAAAATAAAGTAGAGACCTCTGAATAAATATACATTTCATATGATATGAAGATTGTTTAATGTCTTCAATAAGAAAAAATACTGATAAGTAAAGTATTTATGATTTTTAAAGTTTTTTTTTTATTATTAAAGTTTGAAACATTTCTGTATCCCCTGACAGCCGTGGGCCCTTAGAATCATCCTAACCTTTCCCTCCTTTACGGTGTCCCTGGCCTACAGATTCAGGTTGTAGTGGTAGCAGAACCGTATGCCTCATGGTGCAAACACGTTGTTACTATGGATAGTTATTTATTGAAAGAAAAACATTTCATGCCATTTTTATCCCAAATGTCTTTGTCTTAAAGTATCTTTCCGGAGTTCGCCTCTTTCAGAAATTATGTATGATTTGTCAGAAATCCGTAAAAGTGATTGTCTTATCATGTAAAGTGATATAATGTAAGCCATGCGTCTTTTTTTTTTTTGCTAAGCACGCCCCCTGCCCGGCTGAGCTCCGTGCAATAGGAAACTGAGCGCCGACCAGAACTAACCAATAGCGTTAGACTACCGCTTACGTGCTTCAAATTTAAGGAATACCTCGGCTGATGCAGAGTTGAACTTTTCACGGACAAGAAAGTCTCTAAAATATAAATATATAAAAACACAACATGACATGAGAATAATACTCGTGAAACAACATGTTTTAGCTCCGTTTGTCGACTACAGAAGCACAGTTATAAAAAGAAAAGAGAAGTCACCATCTTAAACAAACAGAAGGAGTGTGATATGCTTGTCAGCCACTAGATGGTGCCATCAGATAGGAGAAATACTCTGGAAAGAAGCTTTAAACCCATGTAACTCCGTCTTTTGGAGCTCTGAGTGACATTTTACAGGCAGGTCTTTAATATTACTTTATTTGTACAGATGCAGATCAATAGGTGGTATTAAAATGCAGGAGTAAACAGATGTACCATTTCTCTTTACTTGAGCAGATGGAACAGAGCTCGGACCGGTCACGAGGAAATAAAGGTGAGGATAAAGGACCAATAGGTGAGTGAAAGGCTGCTGTTCTGTTAAAGACCTTGAGGATACATAATAACCGAGTCTCACCAGTGTGTTAGGTGACCAAGCACTGTTGGTCTCGTGCTACATGGTTACGCGGAATCGCGCACACCCTCACACATACATGTACACACACACACACACACACACACACACACACACAAATTGTATTTATATGTTTTTGTGGACCTCCATTGACTTCCATTCATTTTTGTGACTCCACAATGCCTAGCCCATACTCTAGCCCTAACCTTAACCAACTGGGTTCTATTCCCAACCTAAAATGAAAGGTTATTCACAACATACCCCCAAAACCAGGTTTTAGGGTGCTTAGCATTGTGTGGACCAGCAAAATGTTCCCACAATGTAAAATGTCCACACATTACAGGTTACAGTTAAAATATGTCCCCTTAAACCTATAAAGACAAGTACACACACTCACACACATTCCTGTCTAGCATTGGTTGTGAGGATCG